GCCTGTATGGACATCAGCCCACAGGCCACCAGTTGAATAGTCCTGCTTTAGTTCCTCTCATTTCTATACGATCATTTTGTTCAACTCACTGAATTAAAGCTGAGAGTCTGAAATGTTTTGCTTTAAATTTATTGTGGTCAGAACCAAAATTAGGAATGTCTCTGTCTAAAAAGATACGGACATAACTGTACTTTTGCTTGAAATACCTGTCCCTAGTTGCTATCTTTACTTGATCATTTTTGTTAATTTTTCATTTAGTGACACAACTACTGCATCAAATTCCTGGTAAAAAATAAAAAATCTGACTTTCTCTTCTTGAGATTAGTCAGTTATTACAATTATCCATTATGCTGTAGTGATAACTTTAGACACCAGACTTAAATGCTGTAGTGCAGCTGATCTTAAAAGAGTTTCTTTAATAGCATGTACAGGTGCACACATGGTCCCAGTGGCTTGTGGAGAAGCATGTCTATTTCATAATTGCTCCTATATGCTGTTCCTACTAGTGCTTTTGTGTAAGATCTAACACCAAATTCCTATACACTAATTTAACTGTACAGAGTCTTGAATGATGTTCTGCACTGGTAAGATACTTTTATCTAATGAAAGTGCTAAATTATTACATTTAAATATAATGCAACATAATCATCTTTGTCTACTTTTGAACAATCTTTTGCTTTGATGTCTGAAACCGTCATCTTTGTGTTTGAAACAACTACCAACTTTGTAAACATACTATCAGACTTCGACCCTTTGAGTAAGATGCTGAATCAGTCTGACATCTCGTTTAGAAGGCATCAGATGCTCGTTGCCCAATTTTATGCTTCAGACTGACAATTAGTCTCTTTTCAAGTTACACAATCTTCAATGCAAACACTTTCAACAACATTCCTCCCCGTGAAGTGCAAAAAATGCATTGCAGAAAGACTGCCTGGAGGACAAAAGGAATATTCTGCACAACTAATAGATGGCATGTTATTTAGAATCTTTGGGGACCACCGGTAAAAACAGAGACCAGAATTATCAACCAGATCTCAGGAGAATCAACAGAGCTGGCCAGGAA